GGGGGAGGGAGGCGGGGAGGCCCGTATATACCCGTTCGAACGACGCGTATCTTCATCCCGTATCGCGTGTTCGGTTTACGGGGCGCTTATATGTATATATATACCTATATATATATACATACATATATATGTATACCATCACGTATCGCGAAACGCGAATGTCTGTCTTTGAGGAGAGGATGTTTCCCTTTATCGCGAACGTCGTCGGCGCGCGCGGTATAGTTGGAATATCGACACAATCCACCGCGCGATTACGATCCGCTCGCGAGTTTCTCCCCCCCCCCCTCGCCCCTCCTTCAAGCGATCGAACTGTATACACCGTAAACGTGCGCGGCAATCATTTAACGTCGCCCCCTTCGCGTAATAAAGTGGCGTCGCGCTAACGCCGCGTGATGTGTTTTACAGCGGGGCTCGATATCGCCGGCCGACAAGTACAACCGGGCGCGCACGCCGCAAGAGGCGACTCACACTCACCACTCTCATCACTCGCAGAACCACCACGATCACGCGTTGCACCCGATGAAGAAGATGAAGAAGGAGCACGAGGCATGTAAGGACGCCGGACATGTAAGTGACTTTAATGGCAAAGAGATTATCTCATTCGTGTAGTTTTCGGTCCGTGCCGCGCGAAGAGAAGCGCTTCTTTGTTGTCAATCCTCGCTGTAAAACGATGATAGCCGTAACTGTTTAACGATCAAGACGATAATACCTACCGCTATTCGGATAACGGATACAACACGTTCTTGACGTCCCTTACTTAACAATTTTCTCTCGTTGAAAAAAATTTTTTCCTCTCTCTCTCTCTACCTGTCGCTTCGTGGCGCACTTCCGGGGGAGTTTAGAATTAAAATCGACATTTTATTTATCGTTTTTTCGCGAGCAAATAGACGTAACGATCCAGATCCGATATCACGTCGTGGCCGATGAAAAAAAAATCATATTACTTGAGGGATGACAAGCTTAATCGCGCGCGATTATCGGTGTTCCGCACAGAGTGACGGCGAGAAGAGCGACCAGGATTTAGTTGTGGATGACGCGAGTGACGGTCCGCCCAGTCCGGTGATGAATGGCGTGACGTCGCCCCGCGAAAACGGCCTCGACAAGGTTTCGTCGGTGGTGCCGTCGATGGGGGCGGCCGGCGTGCAGACCGTGGGGAAGAAGGACATGCCGCCGCACTCGCCCAGAAGCGGCACGAGCAGCAACGCGAGCACGCCGTCGGCCAAGAAGATGGAGGAGCGCGAGAAGGCGACGACACCGATCTCAAAGTCGTTCACTCCGACGTCGGGGTCAACGGTGGCGGCGATCGGCGGCGGCATAAAATCGTCGAGCTCCGGCAAGCTGTCGCAGGGCCCGCCGAGCCTGCCGCCCGGCTCGGTGCCACCGCCCGCGGTCTCTTACCCGAGTTCCTTGCATTATCCGCCGGCCGGTCTGCCACCGCCGCATAATCTCGCGCCGGTAGCGCACGGCCAGCATCCGCATGTCGACGTGATGGCCGCGTATAACGGTTACGCGACGCCGCGGCCACCCGTCGCCTTGCAAACACTGTACGACCCGCACGCGGCACTGAGGACCTCCGTCGGTTCCGTCGGGACGCAAGGAGGAAAACCGTGAGTATATCCAAAATCATCTCCGGGAATGCAACCGACCGGATTTTTCCGCAATGCACGAGTCGCAACGCGGCACTCGTGTCGCTCAGCGAGAATTTCGGTCGTTCATTAATTTTATACTCTTCACCAATAGGTTACTACTAATAACGCGTACGTGGTGATCGGTGTTAAGGAATGAGATAAAATTAATTGAACTCAGAGTCAGATGCTAGTTTTCAAAATTGAATCGCGAGTAGAATTTAATCGTTCAAACTTTAATAATTTTGCCGTGTTGAAATGAAATTTGATCTATACAAAAATTGATATCGGAGATCGGGTGAGAGACTTATCGTGATCGTTGCCGGACGGGGTTTCGCAGTGCGTACAGCTACCATGTGTTGAGCGACGGGCAGATGCAGCCAGTGCCGTTCCCGCAGGACGCTCTTATGGGTCCAGGAATACCGCGCGTCGCGCGTCAGATTAGTACCCTCGATCACGGCGAGGTAGTCTGCGCGGTGACAATCTCGAATCCGACCAAGTACGTTTATACCGGTGGTAAAGGCTGTGTCAAAGTCTGGGACATCGGCCAGGCTGGTATGAACGAGGTAAAGCCTGTATCGCAGCTCGACTGTCTGCAACGCGACAATTACATCAGGTCAGTAAGAGCGATCGAAAAACGATCGAATGCGAGCCGAGATAAGGCGCGAGATAAGGCGCTTATCGCGGGAATAAACGCAAAAAAACGGTTAATGCTAAAAAGCGGTCTCGCTCTTTGCCCCTCTGACGCAGGTCGGTCAAATTACTTCCGGACGGTAGGACGCTAATAGTCGGCGGCGAGGCCAGTCAGTTGAGCATCTGGGATTTGGCCAGCCCGACACCGAGGATCAAGGCCGAGCTCACCTCCTCGGCGCCGGCGTGTTACGCCCTAGCCATCTCACCGGACTCGAAGGTCTGCTTCAGCTGCTGCAGCGACGGCAACATCGCCGTGTGGGATTTGCAGAACCAGACCCTGGTCAGGCAATTCCAAGGCCACACGGATGGAGCGTCGTGCATCGACATCTCCGCTGACGGCTCGAAGCTCTGGACGGGCGGTCTCGACAACACCGTCCGTTCCTGGGACCTACGGGAAGGCAGACAGCTCCAGCAGCACGACTTTAACTCGCAAATATTCTCCCTTGGTTTTTGCCCCACCGGCGAGTGGCTGGCGGTCGGGATGGAAAATTCTAACGTCGAGGTTTTACACGCAACCAAGTCCGACAAGTATCAGCTGCACCTGCACGAGTCGTGCGTACTGTCGCTGAGGTTCGCCTCGTGCGGCAAGTGGTTCGTCTCTACAGGGAAGGATAATCTGCTGAATGCTTGGCGTACTCCTTACGGGGCATCGATATTCCAGGTTGGTGCGCTAATTAGGTGTAATCTCCCTCCGTCGTCGTTTCACGTCGATAAACGCGAAGAAAGGAGCCTTCGGGTGTAATAACTGATGCGAAACCGCGTTTAAATATTATTGCCATTTTTTATTGGAGTTGCAAACCGCGAGAGAAACAGAGAGAATCGATTATTTAATTTATCCAGTCGATTTATTTTATCGAGCAAGTCAAATCGAAAGTGTGTTTTGAAAATATTAAAAAAGATACGCAAACGAAAGAATAATATACACCTTTGACATTTAAATTCCGCAGCCATCTGCGTTTATTACAAGCCCGGCGTGCAAATTACACAAATTACGTTCGCACCTTTCACGCGGAGAATAAGTACGGTGTTACGCGCGCGGGACAAGACGGCGAGACGAGGCGTCGAGGACGATCGCGAAACAGCTCATTAAGGAACACTATATAATTACGCGATATAAACGAGCCATCGAGTCGTGACTCGATAAGCAGAAAAAATGCTGATTTATAATGCTTATGAATAATCACTCGCTACGCGCTGAACGCGCGATTTCGTTATCGAGCGGAATTCGAAGTGGCACAATAATAATAATAGATGTCTACAAGGCGGCTCGTAAATATGTTTACGTTTTTTTCTTTTCGACGTTTCGTAAAACGACTCTTCCGACGCTCACTCGAATTTTTACAACGTCACATCCCCCTTTCTCCTCTTTTTTTTCTTCTTCTTCTCGCTTTCTCTCTTTCTCCCGCTCTTTCTCTTTCCGCGCGCAAGCAAGCGCGGCGGTTATAACTGTTATCGCGCGCTCACTCGACGATACGTTTGTCGATTATATTTACAGGCGAAGGAATCCTCGTCGGTGCTCAGTTGCGATATATCGACGGACGACAAGTACATCGTTACCGGTTCCGGCGACAAGAAGGCCACCGTCTACGAGATCGTATACGTATGAGACGTACGGAGCCGTGTGAGAGGCTATCAACTGGCCATTCCATGGAAACAGAGCGCACGCCGAGAGTCCCTTCGGAACGCGGCGGATGACGTTACGACGGATTATGTGATACCGTTGTTGGTTCTCTTTGTTATCGCTGTTGTTGCTCGTTCGTGTTTGACAAAAAAAAACAAAAACAAAGCGGGATCGTCGGCGCGAGGCCGAGCCAAACGGACGAATCAGAGACTTCGATATATTTCCCGGATTTTAATGATCGTCAGCGTTTGCACCAAAATCTGGAAAATGCTCGAGACTGCGATATATATAACGACGTAAATTAATATCAACAGAAACGCGATATCGAAAATTGCGAGATTATTTTAAAGATTTGGAACATTTGACAAAAAGAAGTATTTTTCTTCTTAATATTTCCAATAACATTTGTATAGATGATTTATATAGTTAGTTACTTTTTTTTCCATTACATTGCGATAGAGTAGAAAATTCTCGTAGGATTTGCCGCCAAACAGTGTGCTATGAAATAATATCGACTTCGAGCTCGTAAAATTTCGCAAGTTAACGTTCAGAACGAAAAAGTTGTGTTTACAGCCTCTACTGCCGATTGTTTCGCATTTTATATGCCGCTAGATTGCGATCCGTTTCGCTTGGCGCGCACGATCGCTCTTTATAATTGTGATTATTCATGTCTCTTATCTGTACATTTTGTAAATAACAGGTTTTAAGTATACCGTGATATTTTTCTACTACTCCGTAAGAGCGAAATGGCAGATGCGAGACGATTGTAAATATCTCAAGATTAAGAAATTTACAAGAGGTCAGATGAAAATCAAATAAATGGCATATACGATAATTAAGATTAGCTCATTTCATCCTTGTTTAACACCTCCTTCCTGAATTCCGCCGAGACTTTTATCCATGTAATCCTAAAAGGATACATTTTCTGTCGCCAAAATTTTCTCTTAACGCTACTATAATCGACGTAATTTCGGCATCCAGGAAAATGCGAAAAGTTAGTAATGGGGAAAGGCGGGGGCGGTTGAGCGAAGCGGCGAGATGACCTGTCGCTCTGTTAAAAACAAAATGATTAGTGGCCGGCACGCCGATAAAAATCGGGGCTGCGCACACAGCGGGCAGGTGTCGGTGGAAATAAAAAACAAGGACCACTCGTTACTCCATCCACGCGAACGTTGTTAGCGCAAAAAAGAGACATCAACAATATTTAGTTGTATGCGCCGGGGCACGGCGCGGGCAGCGGCGGATCGTCATGAAAATTACGACACTATTTCGCCGATAAAAACGAAAAAAAAAAAAAGAGAGCAGTCACCGCCGCTCGCGCGCGGGCAGCGTGCTGACGGTTTCGTGATTGTCATGAAAACAAATCGGGGCGAGCTCGACCGCCGCCCACGCGCGCGCATTCGGGTGTATACGGGCATAGAAAAATAAAAACCCTCCCTCCTTCTCTTCCCAGAAAAAAAGGGAGGAGAAAAATATACGCGTATCGAGCATAGTCGGAGTCAAAACGATTGTATTTTACGCCTTCATATCGCATCGTGAATCCGTGCGAGTCCCACCACCCGGTGTATAATTAGCGAGGCGATGCATGCACGCGTTCAATGGAAGGTTCATCGGCGTAATGTTATTATAATAGTGGCACGTTTTGCATATGTGACCGGGTGGCGGTCGCTTCGGGAGGAGAAAGGGGTTGGACGAACGAGGGAGGAATAAAGTCGGAAAGGGTGAGATCGTGATGACGGAGGGGGTGAGAGAGAGATAGATATTAGAGAGAGAGTGTGTGTGTGGTTTTACGCGGGTTTTGCCGACCGTATATTTGCATGGTAATCATATGCGACGCGCGCGAGTGAGTGCAGGAATGATGCGGGGAGACGAGGGGGGGGGATGGAACGGGCGGGGGAGGACCATGGGGAGGAGATGGCGGCGGCGGCGGCGGTGATGGTGGTAGTGGTGGTGATGGTGGTGGTGGTGGCGACTATTGGAGCCGCGAGATTTGTATATCGCGGCTAAATGCGTCGGTTATTACGGTTAATTCGACGACGAGCAACGGCAGGTTACGCGCGAAGCGTATTACCGCAGTTTATTCGCGCCGGATTATTCGCGTGCGTAAACTTATCGCGTCGCGTTGCGCGCGACAGCCTATAAAATAATGTCTGCGCGACAATACGCGTGCGACAACAATCAACTACATTATAATCCTTCCGTTTTCGACTTTGTCTTCTCTCTCTCTCTCTCTCTTTTTTATTTCAACATTTCGCTTTATTTATTTAACCCTCGCACTCGGGGAACGATCGCTAAAGTCTTTGAGTTGATTCGCGCTGCTCGAAGATTATTGCAATGCAGATCATTATTATTCGCATGGCGCGTCGTCATCGTCATCGTCGTCGTCGACGTCGTCGTCGGCATCCTCCCAGCAGTATACGCGCTCCAACAGTTGGTGGCACTCATATACACAAAGAGCTAATTTTCCCTCTGTCCGTCACGTCGACGGCAACTCTCCGCGCGGCACGGCACGGCGCGCACACAACGCGACAAATTAACAGACACGCAAATGAGCGAGTTCACGCGCTCGCTTTCGCGCTACCCCCCTACACAACTCTCCTCGTTACAATTGGACACTAATAAACGCGCCAACGCGTGCCCCCCCTCTCTCTCTCTCTCTTCATCGCTTCGCCCGTTATCCCGAGCTCGATCATTCTCCTCTTCGTCGACTCTCCTCCCCCTCGTCTCTCCACGCAATTCGAATAAGCGTCGCGACGTCGCATCGCGTCCGCAGACGCGTAAGCGCTACATCGAATCGTATTAGATGCGACACGTATAGATGCAGGAGATCCTCCTTCGCTGTTGGCGCGAGAGCGATCCGATTTCGCATGTCGGATTTGCGTCGTCGAAGCGACAGAATGCGGTCGCGGCGCCTCGTTATAGACCGTAGTATCGCTCGCACGATTATCGCCCGATTTCAGAATTAGTGCGATAAGCGAGCGGCGGCGACATTGCGGACTACCTGTCGTCGTACATGCGCATCGTTCGGAGGTGGAAAGGACGATACGGCGACGGCAAATGCGAGAGCGAGAGAGAGAGAACGGCGGCGATGGCGGTTATCCAGATAGCAGATAGCTAGGACGGTGGTCTCGTTTGCGGCTTGACCACCCTTGCGGCGCACTGCCCTAACCGCCCCTAACCACCGTACCGCAGCCACATGGTGTGTGCAACTGGCGATAACGTTGCCCTCGCTCGCAAGCCCGTCGCAAGCCGATGCGTGTCGTTGCACCAGCCACGCTTTCGCGAACGATCACCCCCATCTCTCCGCCCCGTTGTTCGTTCCCTAGCTGCAGCGTTCCGACATAGTGCCATAAAACGTATACGTGTCCCGCAATAAGTTGACTTTCTCCGAATCCTATACTGATTTGTGTGCGATCGATTTTTTGTTAGTGAAAATATCGGAAAGTGTCGTTATCCATTGTGGGTCATTAATCATTCATATTTTATATATACGTATACCTTCATAAACCCCGGTGTTGTAAACCTGTCCGACTAAAAGGTCGAGTTAAATGGTGCTGGTGTTAAGTGGAAAATAAGGTTCCCTCCGCTACCTGCAGTCCATGTTTGGACACACACAATTCCCCGTTCTCAATTTTACGGCTTAAAGACCATCAATTTTGAATGTTTCCGTCGAAGAAAATACAAATCGATCGAAAAAAAAAAAATCTTAGACTGAAGAGGACAGCCAGACAGAGCAGATTCAGGACACCCGTGTATCTCGCCGGGAGTCCGCAAAGTCGGATCATCCCGGGGGCTGCAGGCTCGTAAGTCCACGAACGAATCGCACAAACTTCCCGTCCTCCCCGAAAGGATTATCCCCGTAACAAAAATAACGGCTGTTTGTAGACTGGCGAAATATTACGAGCGAGACCAACAGAGCCCCCGCGCTTTAACGACTCACGCTATTTCAGTGAGAGAGAGAGAGAAAGAAAGAGGAGCGCCCCGTTGGCGCCTTCGTGCTCTTGAGAAGCGAGGCGGAGGAGTTCGGCGTTCGCACGGCGACCAGTCGGGACCGGCATAATTGAAATCCTTCGGATTTTTCGGCTATCTCTATCGCTCCCTTTTCCCCCTGTAGGAACAGAAATCAGCTTTTCCGAACGCTCGTCGTCGTTAACCGTCGGTCTAATCGTCGGTCATGCGAATGCACATCGGGATAATAGTAACGAGTAGATAATAGTGAAAGCCTTTTTACTGTCCTTTTAATGGCGGAGCCCTATAGCTCGCTTCAACAACAACGGTACGGTAAAGAACGGGACGATTACGGCGAGTGAAGAGCAAGTTAAGTTTGCTAACGAATATAGTCTCATTCGGAGTAATTGTCACAAAGTGACGGTTGCGCGCCGAGACACAGGAAATACCAGCGCGTTAGCATTTGGCGCGAGAGCTGATCTCTCGTATTTACAGGCCCGGAATGACATGGGGGGTTCGCGTTTATGCGCTGACACGCGGTACTCGGTAGTGCGCGGCAGATGATTGAAGAGTCTGAGCGTCGCGCGCGAGCTTGAGCGATTCCGATTTCCTAATTGCGGAACGAGAGAGAGAGAGAGAGAGAGAGAGAGAGAGAGAGAGAGAGAGAACTCCAGAGAACGCCTCCAGTACATTATCAGACGCCCGACGCCAATCGTCGTTATTAGCATTATGATATTTAATTACATTGTAAAACTATCAATCATCATTAGCATTACAATGCACGACAACTAGGTACATTGTCGATGAGCGATCGATTGCGAAGGCGGGCCAAAGAGACGCCCGTGTTACACACGTTCTTGTAATTAGAATTAAAGTGGCGCGTATATGCATATTGCTCTGCGACACTTTCTAATTCAACAGAGATATCAGTCCCTTGGATACGGGGCACTCGTGGATGTGCCCCGGCGTGTCGTTATCGGTCGCGTGTTTCTAAACGCAGAATGTAAAATACATGAAATACCACGTGTACACTCGACGCGCCTACGGCGCATGTGCCTAACATGTGTACGTGCCGATGCAGGATGTACGTATATGCATACGCGTGCACATACATCGCGTAACCTCTCTAGAACGACAGCGAGGGTACAGGGGACGGGAGGGGCGAGGGGGACCGGTGCCTAACAAACCGCAACGATAGCTACTAGTCGTCGTCGCGTCCCGTCGCATGCGTGTGTACACACACGCGAAAGCGCGCCGGAGCGCCGTTGAATATTTGAGGATCGGCTTCTTCGCGTTTCTCTCGCCCGCGAACGCGACACGCGTTCCTCCTTCCGAGATTGCTCTCTCCTCTTCCGTATCGTACTTTTCGCGAGCGACTAACCGCGTCGTGCAAACCTACGTCGACGACGACGACGATGATGACGGCGACCAGGAATAAGAAGAGGAGAAAAAGGGAGAAAAGAAGAGCGGAGACGACGTCGGAACAGCATGATCATGCGCATATACAGGCGGAAAAAGCGAGAGAGAGAAAGAGAGAGAGAGAGAGAAGAGAGAGAGAGAGTGGGACCTGTGAGATAGCTGTGCGGCCGACACATACGGTAGTCGCAGATCGGCGAGGTAGACAAGGGGCTCGAGCAAGCAAAATGGAGGGCAGGCGAGCGTGGAATATAAAAGGAGGAACGTGAATTCATATCTCGTCCGAGGGATCTCTCTCTCTCGCTGCGCTACGCCGCTGAGAGACTGCTTTCGAACGGACGAGCGAGCGAGTGAGAGACGAAGTAAGTGGGATTGGGGAATCGAGAGGCAAAGGAAAGGATAAATCCCCGGCCGCGGACGCGCAGGGGACGAAGAGAGGACAAGGACCAAGCGAGGAGAGAAGATAGGTGG